CGATCTTACAGCTGAAGATCTACAGACCTTACAGCACAGAGGCTTCTGCGGTTTAACCTGCAGGATTGTAGTTCCTAAAATAATCAGCAAGTGGTCACACTGTAATCAAAAAAAGTAACTTTTCAGTCGGGAGGGCATTCCATAGTCTGGGGGCAGCTGCTTAGCACCTCTTCTGTCATTACGGCTTACCAGAATGTAAGATTCTTACTGGATCAGAATAAAGGCCTATTTAGCCCAGCATGCTGTTTTTCAGTGGCCAACTAGATGCCCATGGTAGCCCACAAAGATACTTAATTCCGATTCTGCTGCTGTTGCCCAGCAACTTGAATTAAGAAGCCAGGTACCTCTAATCTTAGCCTAATCAGTGATGATCTTATCTTCATGTCATTCGAAGTTGTCCAGACGGGCAATTACTACATCTTGTAGTGGGGAATCCCCCAGATTAACTCTGTACTAAGAGAAATAGTAGTAGTGCTCCTCTTCTTCTGCACGATTTTTGTACAAAAACAACACATTTTAGAATTGTGTTATTCAAAATTTCAGGCCATTTATTCTAGTTTCTCAAGCTCTATTTTTTAAACACCAAGGATGGTGTAGGTGCCTGGCCTGTTGTGGCAAAACTAGAAAAAGATTCTATGGCACCTGGAAGACTAAGATGATTTATTTGGTCCATACTTCTGTGGCCTGTGTTTGATGAAGTGGATTCTATGGAATCGTACGCAAAATCAAACTTCTTAATCCATTTAAACTCCTTGTTCATTTATTTTTCTCTTTTACCTCATACTGAAGAATATCATCCTTAGGCATTAGATTAAAAACAAATTTAGGAAATAAAAGGATGCTAGCAGATGCTAAATTAACATTTAGTGTTGGTCTGATTGGTATGCTAATATATTCTCATCTGCCAAATGAGTCACAGAAGGTAGAGAAAGTTCCTAGGAAACTGCTACCACTGCATCAGGAAAAAAAAGCCTCTTCTAATGATGACTTATAATACTAACTACAATATATGAATCCATGCCAATTTTTACATGTACTTGATGAGTAACTCTGAAACAATATTGTATCATGTAATAGAATATTTATGTGAGTAGGGAAACAGCTTTCGCCTTTCAGCTCCCAAGAGGTTGTCTGAACGATCAGTTTCTGATTAACTGAAAATACCCAGAGCATCTTCAGGAGATGGCTTAATTGTAGTCCTTCACTAAAAGCATTTAATACTAATTCGCTTTAATTACCTCTAAAGTATACATTTAAGTCAATAGTTTTTGGTGACCTAGAATTTTTAAGGGTTGTAGTAGAGCTTAATGATAGAGCTCAACTGCGGAGGTCGGCAACTGTGGCCTTCTACAATGTCATTGGTCTGTCATGCCTGCTGGCACATCCCATTGTAAGGGATCATGGGATCATCTGGACAATCACTAAGCACAGGTGTGATTGGGTTCGTTATATTTTTGGAGCAGTTCCTCTCTTTTGGCGGGAAACAAGGGAGGAGACTCTTTTTGAACATCAACAACTTTATTATTCCAAACATTTGGCGAATCAACAATCACCTCAACCAGTTCAAATACACTGATATTGTTTATAACATGGTGTCAATGCTTCTATCTTTGAGCTGATGGGATCTAAGAAGGGGCTGGTCCAAACTGTTCGCGATGTGTTGGCTTCTTCAGGGGTGTGCTCCTCACCACGCAAATGGTCCCATAGCAGGGATGTCTGGCCCAGTCGCCATCCAGAGGTGGGTGGTTGAATGCAGAGTCCGGCCGGACCACCTTCTTCCAACAACCCTGTCCTCTCGGATACACCACCACTGTCCATTCTAATGAATCCACCAGAACTTCTTTCTGTTTAGTAATGTCTGGATTACACAGTAGTCCCCGGGTCTTTAGATTAGGAAAATCTTCCAGCAATCCTTTCATTCTTTCATATTCAGGTTCCTTCCTTTTACCTCCTGTTGTCTTCCTCCCTTTCTCCTCTCCTTTCCCCGCGATTCTGAATTGTTTCCGCCCCCCTTGATCCTGTATATCTTCTTCTCATACTGGCAGGAATAACTCCTCCCCTTTTTCTCCCTCTCTTCTACTAAACAAATCTTCTTTTATCTCCTTCCTCTCTCTTTCCCACTTCCTCTACTTTCACCCCTTTCTCCAATGTTTCTCCCACTCTCTCTCTACTTCATCCCACGCAGATATCTTTTGTGGAGGGGACAGTTCACTCTCCATTTTCACCTTTTTCTCTACCTCTCTTTCACAATGGGACTTTTGGAATTTATCCTCTACTTTCACCCGCAGATATTTCCCAGAATATGCAGATATTTCCCCAGCCAGAATTCTGGTACCTATAGCCAAAAAATCCAAGTCCTCAGAGGGGTTTCAGTACATGCACCTGTGCCTTGACAAGTCTCTCTCTCAAGCAACTTACATTAGCCTGAAGAAGGAAATAGGTGGGAGTGCACAAACCTCATGGGGGCAGCAAGGGATTAGGGGCCTGATAAATTTTTGAGAGGAACACTTTATCCCGAGCCTAATGAGGAGAGAAACTACTAGTCCCCTAGTTCCTTGCAACTCCATAGAGCTTAGTATAAAACTAAGCTTTTAGGGAATTATTAAAACAATTCACAAATCAAGTGCACTATTATTATTCTCTACAGTGCCAAGAATGCAAAATGGCCCATATAAAATTTCCTCAAAAACAGAAAAATAAATGAAATGGGAATCTTGAGAGCATGACTGAAGTACTATGTCAAAATGCTAAAATCACACAAAATTATATACAGATGAAGTGCATACCTGAAACATTTTGCTCACATGTCTGAAGAAAGATCAGAAACAAAATTAGGGTGCACAGCTTGCTCACATACGAGGGAATTTTATTATGTTTCTTACTTTTAAAGGAAATTGTCATCAGTGGTAATAATACCTATTGGGATGATGATAGTAAGGGCAAGAATCTCTTGATGCAAGGTATGCATGTAACTGATATTGCAGAAAAGGTATGTATCCCAGTCAGGATTCCAAAGAATTTATTGTTCCCAGACCGCGTTATCTGTACAGGAACATTCTGAACACAAATTGCAGTATTCAGTATTGTTTGGGCATTCAGCATTCCAATTGTGTCGAAAGCTAGGGTGACTATCGCATCAGATAATCACTCTGACAAGGCAGCTGAGTCAGATGTGGTAAACATATGGGGACTTCTGGTCCACAGAAGGAAGTAGTATTCCTGCATCCCTCTAAGAATGTCATCAACAGGTGATCTACTACAATGACACACAAGCCCTGGGGAGGAATGTGAAGCCTCTGGGATGGAAAGCAACTCTCAAATTGTGGTCAGAAGATGATGGAAGAGACAGTGGGAAAACAGAATAAAGAAACTGATTTGAGACAGTACTCACTAGAAGAGGCAAAGAAACACACAATGAATAGTACTCCCATCTGTACTCACCTGCTCCAGTGTCTGATCAGATATCATAACCAACATATTTCTTTGCTGCAAGCATGAGTTTGAATATATCTGTGAAGATTCTCAGTCATTCAGGTACGGTTATCTGGATGTTGAGTCATGGTAACTGGAGTTCTTTCCTGTTAGGTTGAAACTTTTTGCTACACATCCAAGTAACTTCTTCAGTCTGAGGAGAGTTGGTGGGAGACCAACTAACTCCTACCAGCTCTCCTCAGACTGAAGATGCTGCCATGATTACACAACTTCCAGTTTGAATATTGTCTACATTTTTAGGTAGTGTGTTTCCAGATAGATTAAACAAAGACTAGGTCAATCTGGAGCAGGCTAAAGGTAAAGGTAAAGGTTCCCCTTGACAATTTTCCCCCAGTTGTGTTCAACTCTAGGGAGCAGTGCTCATCCCCGTTTCCAAGCCATAGAGCCAGCGTTTTGTCCGAAGACAATCTTTCGTGGTCACATGGCCAGTGCGACTTAGACACGGAATGTTGTTACCTTCCCACCGAAGAGGTCCCTATTAATCTACTCGCATTTGCATGCTTTCAAACCGCTAGGTTGGCGGGAGCTGGGACAAATGAGGGGCGCTCACTCCGTCACGTGGATTTGATCTTACGGCTGCTTGGTCTTCTGACCCTGCAGCACAGGCTTCTGCGGTTTAGTCCACAGCGCCACCACGAGCAGGCTACATGCCTGCATTAATCAGGTGTTGTTTTGTGCAGTCAAATTAAACCAAATTGTAGTGACCTTAATGGATTTTCAAGGTAAGCCCTATTAAAAACCCCCACCCCTGAGTTTCCATGTCTGAGTGGGGATTCAAACCCAGGTCACCTGAGTCCTATACCATACTAGGTACCACGCTAATCTGGTATTGCTTCTGAAATGCTACACGTTACATCATAAAAAGAAAGCTAAAGGGAAGGACCTGCAAAGGGGGGGGGGGAATAAAGACAAGTGCACAACTAAACAAAGAAAGCAGGAATCCATTTAAGTTCAAACAAATTCTAAAACATTTTTGACAAAGAAACCTGCAGAGAATGTTCCCTGAGCTGCTTCTAAAAAAGTTTATGCCTGCTCCAAACTCTAAGGCACGAGAAGAGATAGGCCATGAATGGTGCTGTGGGTTAAACCACAGAAGCCTCTGTGCTGCAGGGTCAGAAGGCCAGCAGTCGTAAGATCGAATCCACACAACGGAGTGAGTTCCTGTCACTTGTCCCAGCTCCCACCAACCTAGCAGTTTGAAAGCATGTAAATGCGAGTAGGTAAATAGGTACCACCATGGTGGGAAGGTAACGGCATTCTGTGTCTAGTCGCGCTGGCCACAGAAACTTTCCTCAGACAAACACTGGCTCCACGGCTTGGAGATGGAGATAAGCACAGGGCCCTAGATTTGGACACGACTGGACTTTTACCTATCTACTTGAAGGGGAACCTTTACCTATTGACTTCAAACTTCTTTGTACAGGCACAGAGTCCTTTTGTTGACGTTGCACTGAGATCACAAGGGATAAAAAGGCCATAAGATATTTTTAAAAATACACACAAGTAAGTGATCTGACAATGACAGTCCTTTAATAAATGTAGTGTTTTGTTGTTGTGTGTTGTTCCAGTTTAAAAATGTCATTCACTCACATCCAAAGTGTCCCCTTTCTGTTTTTGGTGTGCTCTCCACCAAATATACACAGAATATACTTCAGCATTCAGGTGACAAAAACCAGCATGGAAATGTAAGTTACATTATTTAAACAAAATAGATAAAAGAGTTCAGATGTGTTTCCTGGTCCCACACATTTAGCAGCTTACAAGTTATTATTATGAAACCATTATTCATTAAAGCAGACTGTTTTCTGAATGCAGAGTGTTTGAAGTTCTAGACCTCTAACTTTGGTAGATAATGTCATCTAGTAGCACCGATGGCTACAGGAAGGCAGGACACACTTGCATTCAATGTACAGTTAATGAAAATTAGACAGTTTGGTTTCAACAGCATATCCATAGTGCATAAGTATTTGTGATATGCAAGTTAGAGCTTTCTCCTAAATTCTGAACGGACACTCTTATAAAATCCATGAACATGGTCCATGATTAATAAAACAGTAATGTAAATTATTTTAACACTGTTATATATTCACATGATCACCATAGTAATTCAAAACAGCCACTAACACAAACACACTATATGTACATAACATATATGCCACAACAGTTTGCCAAGTTGACTCTTCACAAACTAGCCAATTTCAGCAGACATAAATAACCTTGTACCAATGTTTAGGCATTTTAAAAGGAATTAAATGTCCTACGTATTTTAACTCCTTTGCAAACTTAAAAAAATCCTAAAAAGTCAGTGCAAATAGAATCATCATACTTGTTCACCAAGAAAGATTCCTATTAAGCCGAGGATAACCCACTTTTAAGATATTAAGGAATAAACTGATAACATTGTAAACTGCCTTCAGCAGAGGTTAGAGCAGATTAGGAATCAGAAGTCCTATATCCTATAGTAGTGCCTTCTGAGAGTAAGTATTCTGTTGTGATGGTGGAGGCTGTTGCTGCGGCTGGCTGCCTGGTGGCTGGGGCAGGGTTGAGGTGACTAAGTTATAGCTTGGCACCTGGGATATAGTTCCAGAATTCTGATAAGCAGCAACATCAGCAGTAGCAGCTGGGGGTGGGCTGTAGACTGAAGCTTGGCTAGAATATGTACTTCCTGGAACAGAACCAACCATTGCGCTGGAAGAAAAGCAGGGAGAAAAACAGAGTCAGTAGGTTGACAGAAAGGTACAAAACAAGGTAGGCAAAACTGATCAATGTTTTCACTAAGTGTGCATATAAACAAATGTGGGCTTTACTCCAAAATACAGTGGTGCCTCACTTAACGAGCGCTTCGTTTAACGACGAATTTGCTTAGTGATGACTTTTTCAGAGCGATCTTGCGCTCCGTTTAACGATGTTCCCTATGGGCGATTTTCGCATAGCAATGTTTGGGACCATGCTTCGCATAGCAATGACAGTTTGGGCCCCCCTGTTTCGCTTAACGATGGTTTTGACAGCCCTATGTTGGCTGTTTTTGATATGTTTAAAAATGTTTAAAAATATTTAGAATGCTTGAAATCATAAGTGCACTTAATAAACCCTTTGTTAAACTAATTTGACTTTGTTCCGACTCTTTTTAAATTTGTTGTAATTTTTCCCCCCATTGAGATGCATTGAATAAGTTTCAATGCATTTCAATTGGGGAACTGTGTTTCGCTTAGCGATGCTTCCTATGGTGATTTTCGCTTAAGGACGGCAATCCGTTCCCATTGGAACGGATTATCCGGTTTTCAATGCATTTCAATGGGAAACCGCGTTTCGCTTAGCGATGTTTTCCCATAGCGACGATTTTTTGGGAACCAATTAAAATCGTTAAGCGAGGCACCACTGTATTCATATAGTTATTTCTGGATGACTGACTTTTGATTTTCCAGAATTTCTTGGGAATGTGGTAACTTTGTCTAACTACCATGTTTCCCTAAAAATAAGATTTTCCCTGAAAATAAGATTTTGAAGGAAAATAACTTTTGCTCCAAAAAACGCATTAGGGCATATTTTCAGGTGATGTTTTGCATTTTTCATGTACAACAATATACATTTATTCAAATACAATCATGTCATCTTCTTCTGGTTGCTGTACAATGGTGGAGGGCAGGATTTCACTTAACTGGGGCTTACTTTTGGGGCAGGCCTTGTATTACCAGCATCCTGAAAAAACATACTAGGGCTTATTTCCAGGTTAGGTCTTATTTTCAGGGAAGCAGGGTAAATGAAGATGCTTTTAGAAGGGTTTTTTACTACCTCAAATGCTGCATGGGAGTAGGGGAAGACTACATCATCATGCAGACATCTAGAAGACTGGATACTGACACTTTTGTACTCTCCTGAATACCACAAATAGCATTGGTATTTCTACAACTATTATTTTTGCAACTGCAAAAGTTCTTCTACAGACAATGCCAAATATCATTAGGAAGGAAGCTCATAAAAGTAGGATTCTGAATAAACAAGCTGTAAACATATACTAAAGTTAGCATTTGCATTATTACGCTTGCTACAGAGCCTTGTGTCCTGTCAACAAAATTGGAGAATAAATACTCAATTTAAACATACGGCAGATTTCCTAAAGATAGATACTTAGTGTACTTGTCAATGTCAACTTTTCAACCATTACAGTGGGGTCTTGACTTGAGAACTTAATCCGTATTGGAAGGCGTTTCTCAAGTCAAAAAGTCTGTAGGTCAAGTCTCCATTGACCTACAGTGCATTGAAAACCAATTAATCCCGTAACAGGCCGTTTTGTTCCATTTCGGTTTTTTTCTGGTCTGTAAGTCAATTCTCAGGCTGCAAGTCAAACCTGAATTTTGCGGCCAGAGAAGTCTGTAACTCAAAAAGTCTGTAAGTCAAGCCGTCTGTAAGTCAAGGGTCCACTGTACTTCCTTTAAGAAACTCTAGTTTAAGTACAGTACTTTGATATTTTAATTTCCAAACTTACTTTGTATAGGATGTTTGAACTGGCTGGCTAGGTAATCCAGAGCTTGCCGCTTGAGGAACGGTGCCTTGGTTGAGAGGTGGAAGTTGCTCAGGAGGAAGACTGTAACCTTGAACAGGGCCCATCTGAGCACTTCCTGCCACCATGTATGCATTACTTTGAGGTTGTCCTGGATAAACCTAGAAACAAGTAGCAATCAGAAATATAAATAGTATCTTGTTTACTTTTCAATGGATTTTCATTACTCTTCTACTCTTGAAGCCACAGAAACCAGATTCAAAAGCATGTCATCAACACTTACATATGATTTAAAAGCTGGAATGCTAGTACATCAATGCTGTATATCAATGATGCTAATCAATGACTCTCCTATCTCCAGCGTGAGTACTCACCAGGGCAAACCCCTAAACTCTGTATCATTTTTCACATTGTCTCTTATGCATCCTCTTTCAGTACAATAAAATGCAGGGAACATGTAAATGTCACCAATGAAAGGTGACAAGTAATATAATCTTATTATACAGCCGCACTCTGCTTAACGATTGCCCTGCATTACAAATCTGCTTTACGACGATGTTTTTGCAATCACAATTGTGATCGCAAAACGATGGTCTAAATGGGGGAATTTCGCTTAGTGCCGATCGGTTCCCTGCTTCGGGAACTGATTTTCACTTTACGAGGATCAAAAACAGGTGATTGTCGGGTTTTCAAAATGGCCACCGGGTGCTTAAAATGACTCCCCACTGTGCTTAGGGACAGATTCCTCGTTATACAGGCACCGAAAATGGCCGCCGTATGGAGGATCTTCGCTGGACAGTGAGTTTTCAGCCCACTGGAACACATTGAATGGTTTTCAATGCGTTTCAAGGGGCTTTTTAATTTCGCTTTACAATGTTTTTGCTTAACAGTGATTTTCCTGAAATGGATTATCGTTGTTAAGCGAGGCACCACTGTATTGGCTATATTTTTATTTCACACAAGATCCTTACTGACCCCAAACTTATCTTTATTTGTTTCCCAGCAAAACTGAAGGAAAATATTCATACAGTGAAGACCCCACAAGTTATCTTTGGAAAAAAAATGGAAGACTTATGATTGCAATTATGAAACATCTTATACCATAAAATCTACATTCAAATACATACCTGAGAGCCTGAAACACCAGACTGGCCCATATAGTACTGTTGGTTTTGTAGTTTTGAATACATTGAATACATTGGATCTTCATTCATCAGTTTGGTATATAGTGAAAGTGCCTCCATCACTTTAACATTAAGCTCTGATAATTCTGAATGTTTTCTAAAAGAAATGTTTTAAAATAAACTTTTTCTACAATATGAATATGAAAGTGAGCTTTTTAGTTGCTAATCATCGAAACACTGAATTAGAGGGAAGAAAATTCATTTTTTTGTAAGCAGAAAGAGCACACAATTGCATATATACACTTTTTGAGAAGAGGAAGATCTCTTGCTTCCTGGCAAGAACAGCCATAATATCTTTCATCCTCTTTCCCAAGCTACCCAAAGAACTGAAATGCTACACAGAGACACTGGCTCTTTTAGACCAGAGAATGAGACCTAAAGTTCCTTGGGATAGAGATATAGAGAGACAATAGAATGCTTGCCTAAAAAACAACATGCAGATGTCCCAAGACCAAAAACATCTGCCAGGACAGAAAAAGTATATGCTGCCTCTTACAGGAAAATATGATGATTTAAGTTATCAACTTTAACATAGAAAGTACAAATAGCTATAATGAAAACTGTGGAGTCGATGCTCAGATTAGTAATTTTTAAAAAGCCGTCTTCTTTTACAGCAACCTGCATATCTCCAAAAAGAGTCCCTCTTTTGTTTAAAGACTGCTTTATATTTGTTGCAATATATAGATATATTTAAGAGCTATACTTACCTATCAATGTCCTCTAGCTTTTCATCAATTAGAGGTCCCATTTGATGACACATTGCTAGAAATAAAGAAGAGGCATTAAATAATAATCTGCTGTGCTGATTATTGCTGCTTGATGTTTGTGTTTCACTGTACAAGGCTTTAAATAAATGTATTATCAATAGTGTTGTATTTCACTTTGGAATCTATTTTGGAATCTATTTGTAAAAGCTATTACAAATATGTGCTAAGCAACTAAATATGCTGTGCTGATTATTGCTGCTTGATGTTTGTGTTTCACTGTACAAGGCTTTAAATAAATGTATTATCAATAGTGTTGGATTTCACTTTGGCATCTATTTTGGAATCTATTTGTAAAAGCTATTACAAATATGTGCTAAGCAACTAAATAAAATACTGTAAAATGACAATGATATCTATAGCAAAAGTCAAAAGAAAAACTGGTTGTAACAGGAACCACACCACTCTACTCTGCCTGGGTGGAATGCCTGGCAAAGCTATGTCTCTGTAACTTTACATTAGACAGCAACGAACTGGATTCTGGGGAATATCTAATAAATCAATTCAAGGGCTTAAGATTGTCAAGTCTGTTAGTTTATTACTGTTGTTGATAGTAGTTGTAGGGCTTAGCACCTCAGAATTTTTGAAGTTAGTACTCCCTTTTTTAGGGGAGTTTGTTGTCAGTTGCTTGATGTGAACTGGGGAAAGAAAACATACCCTCAAGATGGACCAGCTCTGGGAGATCTGGCTGATCATCGGTTGGATCTGCGCTTTGCAACATCTGCAACAGTTGGTCCATTTTATCCTAGAATATGAGGAAAGTGTTCTTTATTTGGGGCAAGGCTTGTAGTGTACATTTCAAAGAACGGGATTCCATACACTCAATGGAATTTCTGGACATGCCTAATGGAATCTTTGCCATTTATAATCTGAATAGCAGATACCACAAATACAACATAACACACAAAAGAGAGCTTTTAGAAGTCTACTTAATTCCAGAAATTGATTGCCATAATCACTGAAAGTGCTCCCATTAAGCTTCATATTGATCTGTATAAGACAACTGTGGCGGAATGCCCACGTCACTCCTGTCTATCATAGCTGAAGCTCAAGTGCAGGAGCCTATGAGAAGACAGGAGGAGCGGAGTCAAAGAGACAGTTAGAGAGGGAGGCAGTTAGAGAGGAGTTTTGAGAGCGTTAAGAGCAGTTAGAGAGAGGGAGGCAGTTAGAGAGGAATTTTGAGAGCGTTAAGAGCGAGAGAATTAGAAAGTTGGAGAGTTAGAGAGAATGGGAAGGAGATAGATGGAATAGTAAAGCTAAATAGATAGTCAGAGAATATTAATGAGTTAGTTAATGTGAATAGGTAAATACACCTGAATAAGCAAACATGTAATCAAATATAAGTTTAATGAGTGATCCTAAACAACAATAAAAGAACATCTATGATTTAAAAATCAAAAGATAAATAAACAAGTTATATTGGCAGCATGTGTCTGATGCATATATGATGCAGTGTGGATGAGAGATCCACTGGTGGTAGCGGAAGAAAGTAAACTTATCCAGAGAGTGAACCTGCGTTTGGGGGAAGCAAACAGGGAATACTGGGTGGAATGTCACAACAGTTATGAAGATGGTTGTAACTTAAGTATTTTTATGATATCTTTTTCACATATTATTATTCTGTTTTATTCTTATTTTTAATATTGCCCAAAGATGGCCATGAAATATCTGGCCATGTGGTGTGCCACATGTAGCCCACAGTTTAGATCTGCCCAGTCCTGCAACAAAGACTGCAGCCATTACAAAAACAAAACAGTAAAAGAAATTATGGAACGTGGGGAACTATCAATCTACTCACTGGTGTAATTTATCAAGAACCTTTCATATACAAAGTAATACTTTGGGGGGTCATTCAGAAAGCATTAAGTTCAAAAACTGTATCCTTCAAACACAGGCTCCTTTCAACTATTATTCTAAAATAATAATTATATGCTACCAAGTTAATTCTGGCTTATGTCAACCCTTTGCAGGGTTTTCTTGGTAGAGAGTTCTGAAAAGTGGTTTATACATTTCCTTTTCCTGGGGGCATCCTGGGATTGTACAGCTTTCCCAAAGCCACAAAGGCTGGCTTTTGTAGGATACAGAGGACATCACAATTCAAATTGTTGTTGTTAAGTCATGTCCGACTCTTCATGACCCCATGGATCAGAGTACGCCAGGCCCTCCTGTCTTCCACTGCCTCCCAGAGGATGGTCAAATTAATCTTGCTCACTACGATGGCAGTGTCCAACCATCTTGTCCTCTGTCGTCCCCGTCTCCTCTTGCCTTCACACTTTCCCAACATCAGGGACTTTTCCAGGGATTCTTCTCTTCTCATGAGATGGCCAAAGTATTGGAGCCTCAGCTTCAGGATCTGTCCTTCCAGTGAGCACTCAGGGTTAATTTCCTTTAGAATGGATAGGTTTGTTCTCTTTGCAGTCGAGGGGACTCTCAAGATTCTCCTCCAGCACCACAATTCAAAAGTATCAATTCTTCAGCGGTCAGCTTTCTTTATGGTCCAGCTTTCACTTCCATACATTGCTACTGGAAAAACCATAGCTTTGACTATGTGGACCTTTGTTGGCAAGGTGATGTCTCTGCTTTTTCAGATGCTGTCTAGGTTTGTCATCACTTTCCTCCTAAGAGGCAGGCATCTTTTAATTTCATGGTTGCTGTCACCATCTGCAGTGATCACGGAGCCCAAGAAAGTGAAATCTCTCACTGCCTCCATATCTTCCCCTTCTATTTGCCAGGAGGTGATGGGACCAGTAGCCATGATTTTAGGTTTTTTTTGATGTTGAGTTTCAGACCATTTTTTGCGCTCTCCTCTTTCACCCTCATTAAGAGGTTCTTTAATTCTTCCTCACTTTCTGCCATCAGAGTGGTATCATCTGCATATCTGAGGTTGTTGAGATTTCTTCCAGCAATCTTAATTCCAGCATGGGGTTCATCCAGTCCTGCCTTTCACATGATGTATTCTGCATATAAGTTAAATAAGCAGGGAGACAATATACAGCCTTGTCGTACTCCTTTCCCAATTTTGAATCAATCAGTAGTTCCATATCCAGTTCTAACTGCTGCTTCTTGTCCCACATATAGATTTCTCAGGAGATATATAAGGTGGTCAGGCATTCCCATTTCTTTAAGAACTTGCCATAGTTTGTTGTGGTCCACACAGTCAAAGGCTTTTGCATAGTCATTGAAGCAGAAGTAGATGTTTTTCTGGAACTCTCTGGCTTTCTCCATATTCCAGTGCATGTTAGCAATTTTGTTTCTCTCTTCAAATACTACTCATTAACAGTTATTCCGACATCACCCTCTAGTGGTACAATGGCCACATTTATAAGCATAATGGAAAGAGTACTGAAAATACTGTAAATAAATGAACTAAAAATTGGCTTATTTCTCATACAATTTCATGGATTACAAAACACTATCAAAAGGCATTTACAATTCACAAAAACCTATGCTATTTTTGTGGTCTTTCAGATGTCATAAAACTTGTTTTTGTTACAGAATAACACAAATTACTGCTCCCAAAAAAGGCCTGTGACATAAACTGCCATGTAGAAGAGATCTGTTCAGTTCCTATAAGCAACTGAATATAATCAGCTCATAAACCATATTGCAGATTTTTCTTAAAAGTCAAGGAGCAGCTATAAGTGTACCGCTTAAAAACCTGGCTCTTAAGCCATTTTATAAATTGTTCCACAAAAGCACTGGGAGAGGGTGATCAGCACGCAAAATGGCAGAAATTTCAGACAAGGAAATGTTTGATCTGCTCTTCCATGGAAGCGTCGTGACATGTTTTCTTCTGAAAATCTAAATGTAGAAAGCAGGCACTGATGTAAGAATTCAAAGGAGCTGATTCCGTAGCAGATGGGTTTATTCTATGCCCTAAAGGACTAGATATTAACAAAAAAGCAGAACTGGACAATTTGAGAAATTACTAAACAGTGATATGGACCACATCTCAAGCTAGTTATTTGCAAATCTATATCAATTCACAAATAGAAAAGTTTCACAGATTCACTGCATTTTTGTACATACTTCATCAATATAAACTGGTTCAGGCTCTGGCTCAATTGTTTCAACTTGAACTTCATCACTAAATTGCACAGTTTTCTTCTCAGATTTCACTGTAAACATGTAAGTTGACAGAAAAATAACTGTTAAATAGCAAGATACAACTTGTCACAAAGGCATCTTGTTTATAACTGGGTCCAAATTCAGGAATATGCAAAAGGGAAATCAACTTCTCCCCACTTCCTCCTCCTCCTAGTAGCCCCTTCCATCTCTGTAAAAATGCTATAGTAAGTTCACGGAGCTTCTCAATGGAATAAGGTGGTGGGGAGGACGACAGAACACTTTCTGTTTGCTGAGGTCCATTCAGATAACATACTTTTGTCTGATTTGGGAGAATTTTGTATTTCCATCGACACAACAGCCCATTTCATTGTGTAGCGTTAGGGTAGTTGCATATGTCTAAAGATCAGTCCAACCCAAGATACAAAATATATCTTGCCCCTTAAACAAAATGTATCTATAAACAGGATACAAAAGCATTCCATAAAGCAGCGGTCCTCAACCTTTTTGGAACTGTGGACTAGTTGCGGGGGACGGGTTCCATGCACGGGGGGCACCCCGTGCTTACGGATGGGTGTGTCATGCTTGCGAGTGGGCGTCTCACACTGGTGGGAGGGTGTGTTGCACCATACGCAACATGTCCACCATGAGTGTGTGAGGGGGGAGATCTGTCTTGGCAACCCAGTCCTGGGAACCCACGGACTGGCACCAGGCCGCAGACTAGGGGTTGGGGACCCCTGCCATAAAGCACAAACTTCTCTTAAACATGGAGGCAGGACCATCAGTTTCTACTAATTACAGCCTCTTGTACCTTATGCTATCGTTCTGAACAGTTTCCAAATCTAGGAGGCATGGGGTGGGGAGGCAGAAGCAGACCAATTAATCATTAATGCTAGAATCCTACTCATTTACACAACTGCATACAGATCACCACCCTACTGTCACCAACTGGCACACACTTCTTAGTGTGATTAGTTGTGAACTGACTGCATCATTGGGGCATACAACCAGCTGCAAAAAGGAGGATAAGATTTCCAAAGAAGAAGGAACACTGCACAATTTCACATATGAGCAGTATGCTTCAAGTACATTTTAGTCATCAGCAGCACAATTTCTAAAATTATTATTCAAAACATTCATAATTGTCTGGTTAGGGCTGGTGGGAGTTTCCATCTAGCATCTGGATGCTTAAAGGTTTGCAATACCTAATAGTATCATAGCTTCTTTTTTTTCTTTAAATAATACAGAACATCATACAGGAAGTCCTTTTAAGAGAACAGTTCTCTCATACTGCAAAGTCATCTCTCACACAAGGCCAACAAAATGTTCAACAGTATCTCAGCAGTTTGTAAAACTAGAACTCTCTACGGCAGATATGGTACCTCTTGATCATCTCAAGTGAACATTACATTACTCACTCATTTCTGGTTCAACTGTAAGATCAGCAGTTACAAAATTAGAAGGAAATAATCCTGTCCCTTGATGAGTTTCACCTTTCCACCAGTTTGGATCACTATAGATTAGGAACAAAAAAAGGAGAGAGCTCTGCTTAGAATGTGAAAACAGGCATTTAAAGGTCAGAAGTATTAGTTAAATTCTAACTCTATCTACTATAAAGGATTGATTTTTATACAGCATTCTGTAAAATAATTCCCAGTTATATTAGCAAAAACCTAAGCTAAACACAGCATCTGAATTGTTGTGCATTTGCATTGTGTGTTCCCTGGAAGTTGTGCTTAAGCCTCATTTGGAATCTATGCACACCACATTTAAAGTTTTGTTGTTTTCCATATAAATCCCTAATCAACTTCAGAGCTGGTTAAAAGACGGTGTTCCCTGTTACAGACCTGCTTGGTCTTTAAGATCACTTAGAGAGGCTCCTGTGATTCTGCCATACACCCCTGAGGTGTGTGGCATATGCTTTTTATTTTAATATTAGTCAAACATCTAGCAATTCTTGAAGGTATTTCTCTAGGTCTTTCAAGCAGTAATTCAAAATACAATTACCTGTTATGTTTCCCACATCTAGCAGAATGTTACATTCTGCATTTTGTGTCCCCATGCTCATTTTATACTGATTTATTTTGGTGAAAGGAATTAAACAAGTTAAAAGATGTTAAAATATAATGGATTGGATTTGTGCAGGCATGCATCATTTTGCTGTGCAATTCTGCAAAAAACTACAATGCTTCGTGCACATGGAAGTACCTGGTTTTCAGTTCTCTTAGTGCATCACTTTTCGGCCTTTTGGCTAAGAACAAGTGTGTGTAGTTCTCTTAGGGCACTAAGTAAAAAAAACCTTCTGGAGGAAGAACAGGCCTTCTGCTCAAAGAAGGGTAACTCTGCACCCAATCTATTATATTTAAGATCTTTAACTTCTAAGCCTCCTTTCACTAACATAAATAAATAAACAAAAAATGAGCATGCAAACACAAAATGCAGAAAGTGGCAATCTAACAGGAGGAAACCTAACAATAATTATGTTTTGAATTACTAACACAATCAAAAGTATATCAAAACTAAGAAATACATAGCACTGCAAGGTTCATATTGCAGTTCTGTACAGCTGACAGCTTTGTAGAACTGGCACGTTACATTAAACATACAAGTAAGCTAGAACATTATATCTGCCCTATAAAGCTCTAGTTTGCAAATGTTATTTCCAGACTTCCAGAAGAATTACCTGTCATCAAGTACAGTTATAAGCTCTCCAGCTTTAAATGTTAGTTCATTATCTTCAGCAGCTTCAAAGTCATAAATTGCCCGGACTTTCCGGCCCTCATGTTTGTGATTTGTTAAGAGACTTGAGGTGCTGGGATAAAGACTGGAAAGTGATGTTTGTTGTTGTCTCTGTTCTTTCAGTGACAATTCAATGGCTGAGGGGAAAAGAAATAAAATCCATGTATAAAACAAAATAAAGTAAAAAGCTTCTATATATTTTAACCAGTTCAACCATGCTAAAAATAAATCATTTCCTTACAACTTACCTAGTTTTTATTTTTGAAATTTGTAAAATTGTTCATGTGAGTTGTCCCAATACTAGTGATACTAAAGACATTTTACTGACAACTTTGATTAAAATTATGTTCCGCTAAAACAGACACCAATTTCATTTTCATGTCAAAATGCAATGGGCCTGGCATTTTCATTATTTTTTTGCCTTAGGCGAGAAAGTCTTACCCTTTTTTTTGCACAGTGTTTTATATGTTTGCACTGTGTTTCCTCCATGAGACGTTTTACAAATTACCATGCTAATCAAAGAGGATATTGACAGTTTTTCAAAAGTTTTGTTAGCCAAAAAGATTATTTTCACTTGATTTCTGAAATCATCAAGGATATGAAGAGATATAAAATGAGGGGCATAAGTACTAAAAAATGTAGAAGCTGAAGAGTTATGGATTAAATAACCTTAATCCTCCATTTAAACCTAAATCACTTGAATATGAACTCCTCAGAAGTTGTATTTTTTCACAATGTAGTTTTAAAATAAATTATTCTCAAGTTGTATTGATGGAAAACTATTTTCATGTATCTCTGAGCTTGAATGAAGAAGGTTAAATAATATTCCTTCAGCAACTAAGCAAAAATGTGTACAAAACTCCTTAATATATTTCCTCAGTCCATGTTGACTGTGCCACCTCAGCTAATGGAGACATCCATGCAACTCCAACTATAAAATCACAAGACAAAATTTAATTGCTGGCCCCAGTTATAACAGATCAATGGAATAATTTCCTGAGCAGTAAGTCAGCTGTGCAACCAGCCAATATATGTGGAACAGGAATGAAATCACTGTCAGCAGCAAACTGATTTCGGAGTGTGTGCAATTTTGCCTCGCTGCATACAAATTATGAGCATTCCAAAACCCAAAAAAGGTTTTATTCTGTGAAAATATGCCACAGAAAATAACATCATTCTTGCTGCTTGGACAAAGCAATTAAAATACTGGCCCATATGCCTACTTTAGTTGGGGTCTTAGAAATGGTTACAGGTCACCAATTTTGGTTTATTCATTTTTCGATGCAACACTTGAAAAACACCAGTTAATAGTTTTGGTCATTTAAGAATTCATAATGAGCAATAACCAACCTTTAGCTAAATCTTCTTCCTCTTTTTTGTTTGCTACTATTCCAGGATCTTTAGCTACCAGAGCTGGGCTTGCTTTTGCCTGTTCTGCAGCCTGCTTAAAAAAAAGACACAAGTTATTTGGAATTTATAGATCATAATGGAATCAATCTAGTCAGGAATCATCATACACTGAAGCATCGTCGTCTATTATCTATTTTGTAATCCAAAACAATAAGGATACACTGGTAATTCAAGGATTAACTTGAATGTAATGATTAGTGCTCTTACAATCCACTTGATTTTGCACCTGACTAACTTGACACCTTGAAATGAAGTATCTTCCTCAGAAAGAATAAAATGGCTTTCTCTCCTATGAAACAATTACACCTGACTTGCACTTAGAAATGAAATTTATGGTACAAGATTCGCTTGAAAATTCTTAGAACATTCTGGGGAATGATCAAATAATTAGTATTACAGTGGTGCCCCTGCAAGACGAATATAATTCATTCTGCGAGAATTGCTGTCTTGCGAAAAAAAATCGCAAGACAAATGAAATTTATTCATCTTGCGAGGCATTGGGCTCGGGTAAAAAAACGTCTTACGAAGCATGGCCATAGAAGAAACCGTCTTGGGAGGCACCATAGCGATTGCAAAAACCAATCGTTTTGCAGGTTTTTCATCCCACGAGGCAATCTTCTTGCGAGGCACCACTGTACCTACAAATACCTGGGAATTACTTTTTCATATTCCTTCTCCTGGTCCTACCACAGACAATCAGCAGTACAAGTGACCAATACCATAAGTAAACTACTTAGACAATTTCACTATGTCCAGGGTGGGGAGCTGATTCCTGTGGCCCTAGAGATAGTCAAGCATAAAATCCTTGCACAGCTGTTGTATGGTATCGCTGTTTGGATTAAGGGTTTTAACCCCTCTGTTGAAGATGTTTTATCAAATACACTGCAATCCTTATTTGCCATGCCAAGATGAGGATCTTCGAGCCTGTCTGCGGCTCGAAGCTGGTATGCCCTCAGTAGAACGTCAAGCGTGGCTACATGCATTTTATTATTGGTTAAAGGTGGTATATGCCCCCAAAACCTGTGGCTACCTATACTATTTGCAGAAATATGTCTTTGCCAGCTCATGGCATAAAAGATTTACAGAAAAACTACATCTCTTAGGCGTCTCTATGGACTTCCTACTGAGAGAGCCTCAGGGTAGCATTAAGCCAATACTTATACAATGTATTAAAGGTATAGACCTTCAGTACTCTAACTTGTGCAGACAGGACTTGTTCACCACTGTGTTTTGGCCTAGATTTTAAGTTCCCCAAGCTAGCTAACTACTTATACCAAATTACAACACTGAGATATCACTTTGCCTTTTTAAGGGCTAGGCTTACTGTAACTGCTTTCCCTCAGGCCTTTTAAAAGGCTGTTTTAATAACACCCCATATGGTGAAAGGATTTGTCCCTGCGGGAAAGAAACTGAGACCTTGGCGCACATCATTTTAAAATGTAGCCTATGTAGGATTGAACGTATTTGTTATCTTGGTCCAGTCATGAGTAAATGTACTAGTCTACCTCCCACAGGCTATCTGAAGTTTCTGTTGTCTGGAGAGATTCAAATAATAACACAGTTAGTGCCTAAGTTTTTATTTTAAGCTATGAGAACTCGCAAAAAGCTATAGCAAGACTTCATACTATATTATGTATTTATTTTATGTATTTTGTCTTTGTATAATCAGGTCTATGACTGCATAATAAACTTTACTTTATTTCAGAAATAAATTCCATTGTATTAACTATTTGATCATTTCGCTCCCTATTGCCACAACAAATGGCATAATCCCATATACGTGTATATCCACAGAGAGATGCCACTGGCACTTACTCCCAGGAATGTGCAAATCTAACAACTTTTGCTTACTTCAACAAGTTGAACTATTTATACAAACAAATGCCCTTGCCTATGAAGCTAAAAAGAAAACCATATCTGCCTTTCTGCACAAAAAGCCTGGTATGGCTTTGTGGGCAGGGTGAGAGGGCTTAATTTGCACTGATCACCTTAAAAGTAGCTGGATTTGTTTTCTAATTTAGACTTTTCCAATTAAGATTTTTAAATGATATGAGCTTGAAAGCCACTATGAAAATTATGTATATCTTTGGATGTTTTAAAACTATGAAATACACTCTGTAATGACAAAACATACAGTTGGCATTCCAACTATTGATGGAATGAGGCTATGCTTATATGGGAATTGGATTGCCACCTATTTATTAAACATATTGATTTGTAACTTATTTTCCTTGAAATGTTTGAGTTGTCATCCCAATTAGTAAATTTAAAACTCACTTATTTAACAACATCTTCTTTAACATCTTTAACACAGAAAAAAGCTTGCAACCTAGCTTCAATTTTACATTAGCATTTGCTTCAGATGACCTTTTCTTTTGTTTTGTACAGTAGGACCACCATATACTTGTGGTTTCACTTAACCGTGGGTCACTAGTCAGCTCCTGGGCACTAGAGATCCATTTCTTTGGGCAAGGCCAGGTTTTCAGAATGCTTGGACCAGGCAGGAGATGTGGAAGAACTCCCTGCTAAGCCCTCTCCCTGGGCGCCAGCTCCGCCAAGGCAAGGCAGGGTTAGACATGGGTGCTCTAAACCCAGCTTCTGCCAAAAGAAAGGGCCATCATTGCATCAGGAACTGAAGAGATTACGTCAAAGGGGGCAGCAGCAGCTCCATGGCTGGGCCTGTGTTTCCTGGGCAGAAGCACAGAACTCCAATGCATGCAGGGAAGGATGAGAAGAATCCAACCTGCTTCCCCTGCCTCCATCACCTGCTCCCCGCCCCTCCCCATTCTCTACCTTCCCCACCTAATCTGTACTGGCTGCCCCACCCCAGCAGATTTTGGATAGGACTGCATGCATGAGCATGCCTTCAAAAAAGTGAGTCTTCTTTGTTCTCTGGGCTCATGGGGGGGGAAGGGAGCTATCTGTGGAGCCAAATCAGTGGTAGAGGAGTGACTTGCAGGAGCAGCTGAATTTGAAGAGGGTGGGAGATGCTCTTCTTTCTTTAAATAATTGTTGTTGCTGTGGTATGTGTTCACTACTTTCCATGTTTTTCAGTGTCAGTGATGGGGGGCTTGGAACCAATCTCCGGTGGATACGGAGGTCCTAACTATATATAGAAGTTAAAGGCTTCACAGCACTTAGTTTTGCATTTCTCTAAAATGAAATATAAGGAGGGAATCACAAATACATTTACACAGTAGAACAGGGAACTGACAATTTGTAATTATTCAAGGCATTGCATGTTTCACACCTTATCTACAGATCTGTTATTGGGCAGGGTGGGGTTTTTTTGTTATTTTTTGGGGGGGCATACGAGTGCTTTACCTGTGAACCAATAACTGGAAACATAACACCTTGTTCTTTAAGATTTTTTATCATAGCAGATATCAGACTAAGTTGTGGGTCATTCTTGAATTCATCTGTCCATTCCACCATGAGAGCTTTTAGTTTTTCACAGACCTTTGGATGACCCTGTGAAAAGATAAAAATGTATGAAGACCTTCATGGCTTGGAACCACTTCAGAGCTGGAGCACTTAGCTCCTACTGAGACCCGAATTTAGCCCTGATTTTTTACTTTGATTTCAATAGCACTGGTGTGACAGGATCTAACTGCATGTCTTTTCAACCTATAACCCTCTAAAGCAACATAAATTGCTCACTTATGTTAATTTGTATCTGCTCCCGTAAACTGCTGATACCACTCATATCATCAATCATCCAGAGCTGATTTAAAATATGAATATATCTACCATGGCATGGTCTTGGAAAATAAATACAGCAATCTGCTTTAAAGCTAACATCTTCAAGAATAGTCAAAGCACTTTCCATATCTTTCAGATCACAATTTCAGGTAGCTCTAATACACATAATTTTACACATATGATGCCCCCTTTCCCTTGTTTTCTTCAAAGTCTTCTTAGTCTTAATCCTCACAAAATACCACATATTGAAATACCTTCAATATGTAGTATTTTAATTTGCAAGAATAAAGAGATGTCCAAACTATCATGAGACCCTTTTCTCCACATATTTCTAAAGAAGCAGCCATCTTAGCCTGCATCAGTATGGTAAAAAAACTGGATGGGAGGCAGGGACAAAATCTGCAGTTTAAAGACTAAGATATTTCAGTGATAGCTTCAAAGTGGATTTTAGTCCACAAAAGCTCAGATTAAAATATAGCTCTCAGTCTTTAATGTATTGCCCAAACCCAGTTTGAATTAATGATAGCAAGATGGCAAGCGAACGTGAGGAAGGTGGTTTCCTGTACCTTGTACAACTGCTTACACAAAACTCTGCATACCACCCTTGCATTAATTCACAAAAGGAGTTCCATTAGCATGAAATGAAATAGGATGCAGGTTCACTCTACATGGCATAAATGTCAGTTGATTTGATTTCATTTCATTCTAACAAAAGAGCCATATAAATTCACAGCCATTTAATCCATATTTATGTATTCCACACATAAGTGGCTCCTGTAGCTATCATCTTTTATTCTGTGTCAAGGTTCATTCAAACTGTCAGTTACATAAAGAACTATAAAAGGCTTAAAATGTATTACCTTATTGAGCACATTGCTTACTTCACTAGCAAAATCTCTTGAACATACTTCTAGATGAAAAATTTTTCCACAGTTTGAGACACATGCTCCAAGAAGCTAAAGACAGAAAAATAAAAATTAAGTATTTTATAGCGGAACATGAAACTGATAAACAAAATTCTTTTTTGAAAAGCTACATACTGTCAATGCTTGCATAGCAACATGAGGATCCTTGTGGTTCACTCTCTTCATTATAGACCGAAGACAGTCCTTAGGTCTAATAAAAAAAAACATAACAACTTTAAAAAATATGTTGACATAAACCATAACATTCATTAGAAAGCTAGAAGATATACTTACATAAGAACAGTGTTTTGTTTTGTTTTGTTTTGTTTGTAACAGGAGGGAGATAGCAAAATCTTCTTAGGGTCTAGGAGTTAAACACAACTCTTCTAAAATGTCTGTGCACACTAAAGACAACTAGTTCTCAGTAACAGTTCCCATGAAGCTATTTACAAAGCGTGCTACTTATATAATGCCCCATAGCACTTAAAGCACTCTCTGGGCAGTTTACAATTATGCAGGCTACACATTGCCCCCCCCCCATGAGCTGGGTACTCATCATTTTTCTGACCTCGGAACAATAGAAGGCTGAGTTAACCTTGAGCTGGCTACCTGGGACTGAACCCCAGGTCGTGAGAACAGTTTTGGCTGCAGTACAGCAGTTTAACCAGTGTGCCACAAAGCTCTGCCTATTCTTCAGCTCTTCCATATCATCAGCTCAAACCTGGTGAGATGCCATTCTCTTCCCAAAATAGAAGGCCCATTCTCTCCCATAAATGTAGTCTCATTAGTTCTGCTGACAGTTTCATTTTCCAGAAAGTGGAAGAAGCAACAATAGGGCCACTTAACCTGGACCCAGTCATCATCAGCAGGGAAGAACTAGCCGATAATATCAAAATAATGGGAAGCTTGCATAAAAGTGACCTTCTTGGAATTCATTATACCAAACACAAGAAAAAACTGAGGCTACTCTGGCAAGCTGAATCATAATGTGGCTGCATTCACAGTGATCACACAGCACTGCAGATTTGGGAGTTCAGTGTTCAAACTTGATGTGATGCGATTCACACTTCAGCCCTCAGCCTCCTCTTCTTTCCTTCCTCCTTCTGATCCTGCCTCTGCTGGTTTTTTAAGATTTGCTGTCAAGCTGCTTGGATTTGAAAGGGTTTTACAGTATTCTGGAAAAGGTGGCAGCATTCCAAAGTTGTTCTTAATGTGCACAGAAATGCCACATATCATAGTAACACCTTTTATTTCATCTAGGTTGTTGCTGTTTTTAAAAAAAATCTTTTTCTCATCTAGAGCTGATCTAACACTAAACGAGTACAGTATATCAATACTAATGATAAGGTGATCTGGCACTGATCTCATAATTTATTTTTTAAATGTCATAGGATGACTGGGGGGGAAAACATGGGAGCAGGCATTCCTGCAGTCCTGAACATTATGCTCCAACTGCCTACATCACTGAAATACCAACCCATTTATGTGCCACCCATCTTTATGACAACAAATAAATCAATCAACTAGGAAATATTCTGTTCAAATTGTTCCAGCTTGGAAAAAAAGTAGAAGCCCAAGCAACAGAGAAAAAAGCCACATTGGGAGCAAAAAGGACTGGACTGATTCGAATCAGTGTTTGTATTGTGTGATCAAAAACAAAAGTCTTCAAATTGACCTGCACTATAACCATAGCAACTCTCATGATATTTGATTGTCTAGTTATAACCTCAGGTTAATATAGCTTGCTCTCTAAGAAAGATGATTTCAATGAGCACAAGGAATGGTCAGAAATACTCAAAGAGTCTCAAAAGCAAGTCATGCCTCTTCTCTGCTTTTAAATGTTTAACAGTTACAAGCTTGGTATATCAGAGTGATATTGTAGATAAACTGTATATTGATTTCAGCAAGTCTTCTGACAAGGTCGCTCCCTTGATATTCTTGTGGCCCGGCTTGTAAAATGTGAGGTAGATAATGCTACTTTTAGGAGGATTTGTAGTTAAATGATGGGCCATACCCAAAGAATGCTCAGCAGTGGTCCCTTGCCATCCTAGAGAAGGGATACATGATATCCCATTGGGTTCTGTCTGGGTCCAGTGTAGTTTAACATTGCTATGAACAACCTGGATAAAGAAGTAGATGGGATGATCATAAAAGAAACATACAATGTTAAACTGGGAGGGATAGTTAATACTTTCAAAAAAGTATTAGGACTCAAGCTAAGTTTAATGCATTAGGGAACTTGGCCAAAGCAAACAAAATGTGTTTCAGCAGGCAAAAAAAATGTAAAGTTCTATATTTAGGCAGGAAAAATCAGTTCTATGAATAGAGGCTGGATAACAGCTAGCTTGGCAGCAGTATGTCTGAAAAGGATCCATGGGTCTTCACATACAACAAACTAATCATGACATAACAGTCTGACAGGGGCAGGAAAAAAGCCAACATACTTCTAGGCTGCATCAATAGACAGATGATGTTCAAATCAATGGAAGTAATAGTAGCACCATCATTTAAGAAGGAAATCAAGAAACTGGAAAGTGTCTGCAGAAGGGTGTGCAAGATGCTTCAGCAGCTGGAAACCAAGCCCCATAAGAAACAGTTAAGCAGGATAGGTATGTTTATTTTACAGAAGAAAATAGCAAGATGTGATACGCAGGCATATTCAAATATTTGAAAGTTTCTTATAAGGAAAATTTAAAAAGCTTGTTTTCTGTGGTTCCAGAGGAAAGGATCTAAGCAACAGATTCAAATAACAAGAAAGAAAATACCAACTAAACATTAAAAGGGTTTAATGACCATAGGAACAGTTTGACGCCTGAATTGACTACTGTACTTTAGAAGATGGAGAACTTTCATTCATTGGAAGTTTTAAAATAGATGCTATGTGCACTTGCAAAGGATGTTTTAGCTCTTGATTTCCTGCATCAGATGAGATTATGTTCAGTTAATTTTGGGGTCCCATCTAACTTTACAATTCTGTGATTAGAGTAATATAAATAGAGCTCTACCAGAAGTATCAATAAGGTGTGCTTCTTTTAAAAAATCAAAAAAATCCAGTGCACATGAGAAAAAAAAGGTCCTTTCTTGTAGTAAGAATTTAAAGAAAGGATGGGTAGTAGAATTATACATCCTATAAGAGTCTAGTGAGGAGGAGAATAATCAGTAGAAAGGTGGTTATGGTGACCTTAAATTATGTATAGGTAGGGAAGATAGCGAGTAGATGAATAGGTATCACCGTGGTGGGAAGGTAATGGCGTTCCGTGTCTAGTCGCGCTGGCCATGTGACCACAGAAACTGTCTACGGACAATGGCTCTATGCTTGGAGACAGGGATGAGCACCGCGCCCTAGAGTCGGACACGACTGGACTAAATGTCAAGGGGAACCTTTATCTTTGGGAAGATAGCATGGAGAGCAAGCAGCCAAGGGACGCTAACTGTGCCTATCTGTTTTACCTTCACAGCAGATGCAGCATATGCCCTGTTAAACACCTAACATGTAAATAACAAGATCAATCAGTCTTTTATCCAACTAATGTGTTTAACAAGGTAGCAAAACTTCTGAATTGCACAGATTACACTTTTATTTCAATAACTTTAATTTTTAAACAGATTCATGATTTCATTTTTACAGCAAGTACTGATATCCAGCTACTTAAAGGAAACTCTAGTTCAAGTAACACGGTAGGTTCAAGTAACCTATATTTGGTGCTGTCTATGTTTTACAAACATCTGTTAGCACTACTAATTATAGAAAATGCTGCTACATGGCATAATCATTTCCCACTGTACACAACGATGGACGTGTTTTATTCCAGGGAGAAAATGCTTTCAATTTTCTTCTCAAAACAATTTGAACAAAAACAATTTGGAACAAAGAGTTGCATCTTCCTTTTGTGATAACTAATAAATGTAACTGATTAGAGAACATCAATAAAACTGTATCCTGCTGAAAGTTCAGAAATAGTTCACAAAGTTGCAAGAATGGAAGGGACCTGATCACCTGTTCCATTCCTGAACAAAAGGACAATCGACTCTATATCAACATCCATCCTTCTTCCCATTCCTATATTAATTCACTTTGTCCAAATTACAGTGTGGTAAAAGTAGTAAGTAGAAATTCATGGAAAAAACACCAGCAGACAAAGACAACTATAGAATTACTGGTAAAGAGAAGTCATTCAAATCAGAAATAATAAAATGTTTATTATTATAACACCATGCAGAGTGACTATAGTGTAGAACAATGCAGGCAATATTATGAAAAAGAATGTTAGTTTTAACAGTTTTATTTGAAAACAAAATACATGTACTGTACTACCCTTTTGTTATCAGGCTACTGAATTATACATAACTACTCTAGAGACAAAATTACTTGTATAACAGTTGACTGATTATGCTGTAATACTATAATAATTCAGCCAACAGTATTACTTGGAACATGTCAAAAAAGTAACTAATCTGAACAAACTCCTCTCTTTTAAATCCAGTTTAAATTAAGCCATGTTAATAAGATCAATATGGATTAGATTCTAGTCATTAACATTTTAATTAATGCCACAGAATCTTTCAATTAATGCTACTGAATTTAAAAGCAGTATTTCAGTGGTGTGCTATATAGAACCTACTGTACTGTGATAGATACAGTACTTAAAATTTGATCTATAATCTTTTATGGAAGTTATGTAGAAAGTGACCTTGAAATAAAATAAAACAAGCCACATTTCTACACACAAACTTTGCTATTGTTAAAAAACATAATTTGAGAATGGAATCTAAATACTGTAGTTATTCTTGTCAAATCAATGGGACCTGTGGACATTTAACTCAAAAATAGAACAGCCCTATCCATATTACTTCTGAATGTTAATTCAGGTCCAAAATTTAGTTTAGGCTGCAAAGGAGCTGTTCTTCAAAACTGACAGAATAGGAGAATTAAATATCGTTTCGAATATTGTCAAAACTTAGAATTAAAGAATTTATTTAGGCTATTTTAATCATTTGAATAAAGTTTGAGCTTGGACCCAAACATTTTGTTTGTAAGTCCTAAAAACACCAAACTACAGTAGCATTCAACCAATCACGCTAATTACAGTAAGCTTTAAAACTGAGTCATGAAGGACAATGAAAAAGCAGAACAAAAGTGCAACACTCATACATTAATACAGAAGTGGGGTGGAAATAGTTGCTAAATTATATTAGTAGTTCATACTGTTCTGCCAAATTGAGAACTGTACTTTTAATCCTATCCTGAGAATGAATACAAAAACTCCTGAGATTTCTATTTTAAAAAGGGAAGTAGTTGACTGAGACACTGTATATAGCAGCTGATAATATTTTAGCAAATTAATGAAAAAATAAAATATTGGACTGCTTTATCACTTCAGTATTTTCGAATAGAAGATTTAGGAACTGTTAGCTCAGTTTATGGGAAATGTAGATGTTAGCCAGATTGCTAACTGGGTCTGGTTACAGGGAACACATAACTCCCCTATTAAACAGCTCTACTGGTTGCTGATCCATTTCCAGGCACAATTCAAAATGCTGGTTTTTAACCTATAAAGTCCTAAATAGCTTGCGTCCAAGCTATCTCTCTCTATGAGCCTGTCCAGGAATTTAAATAATCAAAGGAGGCCTTTCTCTCAGTCCCACCACCTTTACAGGCATGCCCAGTGGGAGCATGGGAGAGGGCCTTCTCTGTCACTGCTTCCAGACTTTGTAACTCCCTCCCACTGGAAACTAGGTTGGCGCCATCTTTGCTGTTCTTTTCAGGTAGGCAAAAAAACCCCACCTTTCCCTTCAGGCATGCTTTTCCTTAATGACTAGGAGCCTGAAGGTTGCTTTTTTAAAAATGGATTGTGTTCTGTTTTACAAGTGTTTTTATTGACCTTTTTAAATATACTTGTTTAATTTTTAAAAAATATTTGCATACTCACTGTTTTTAGCTTTTAAAATTGATCTTTTAATTGTTATAAGCCACCTTGGGTCATTTTGGGGAGGAAGGCAGGGTAAACATATTTTTAATATATACAGTATGACCACTGAATCAATGAGGATTCAGTGAGTTAGTTTCTCTGTAAGTTCCACTGATTCAAATCAGCCTACTCCAGTTGCAATTTACTTTAATGTAGTAAGTCACAATTAAAGTAGGTCCATTTAAATCAACAGAATTTATAGAGCATTTGACTCATGAAATCCTCACTGACTTAACAGGCCTACTTTAGTATGACTTACTATGCTAAGCAATAGGATTTCAAGTCATAGATCTGTAGTTCTTCGCTCATGTGTTATCTACCTTTTAAAATTAGACTGCTGTTTTTAATTTTAACAAATAAAAATCTGGAGAATTTAGACAAATAGCAAATGCACTTACCCTGTTCGTGACTGTCCCACTTTATCACAAATGTCCAAGATGGGTCCCCAATCTTCAGCAGTATTCATTTCACTGGTTGCTTTTTCTTAAAGATACCCAAAAAAAGAGAGAGGGGGGGGAAATAAATTTTAATGTACAGGTGAAAATTCTGTCCAGCACTACACAGAAAGACATGCACCAAAATGTATGTTAATGCGATCATTCTATTTTTAATTGATAATGCAAATATATACTTAGATGCAGGCCTATGAAACACTGTATCAAAATCAGGTTGAAACAAATTGATACATGAACTCATAACACATTTGTACTTCTAAGGGTGTGAACATGCTCAATAGCAGGGTCTCATTACTCAAGACATTAACACATTGGCTCAGCAAGTCAACACATTTTCTGCTCCAGCCACTACTGTAGATCCTGCACACCAGTAATTTAATCTATTCTACTCTGTTTCACCTTTACTTTGAAATGTAGCTCAGAGCTTTGTTTCTCTAACCTGCACGACTATGAATATACTCCAGGGTGAAGGAGAAGTCAAACAATCTTTTACTTTTTGAACTTGTGGCACATGCAGCAAGGTAAGTCATTCACAATATTTTTCTACCACTTTTCTTGTATATAGAAAAGAGCATAAAATACATAAAAATTCTGGTATGCAGAAAAGTCATTTTTCAATCTCATTTCCCATTCTTGAAAAAACAATACTGTTGTATTGTAAGCATGGTAAATTGAATTAAAGGAAGTCTACAGTCCATATTAATTTTGCCAAGGCATAACCCACCCACCCCCACTTCACTGCTGCAGGATGATCATTCTAGAGAAAGAAGGGTTTTTCTAAAGGGACAGATAGACTTGGTAGACTGGTATGCTCTTTTGTATTTTTAGATTGCAACTGCCTGAATATTTCAGGCATTCCCCTGATAGAATTCTGAGAACAGCAGCCTAGAAACTTAAGTCTGCCAATCAGCATTCCAATTATTTATCTTCTTTGCTGCCACCTCTAACCTCCATCTACTTTCAAAAACAAAGGAGCTGCAGATGAGATACCTGGGAGTCATACGTTTCCCTGGGAGTTGTAATTCTTTGGAAGATGCCATCTATTGAGTCTAACTGGCACTGATACCACAACTCCTAGCCTCCTTTGCATCCAGGAGGACCTGCCTCCACTGGTCAGTCACGTACTGTATCAGCTATGGTGGTTAATTGTCCAGTGAAGGTAGGCCTTCCCATATGCAGAGAATGAGAGACATACTATCAGACAGCCCAAAAAGATACCATGGTTGATGGTATCAAAAGCCACAGACAGGGCTGACTGTATCAACTGGGACATGTACTTCCTGTCCAGTTCCCTGCATAAGTCATCCATCAAGATAATCAAAGAAACCCCCCCTTACATAACCAGCCTGAAGCCAGATTGAAACAGACCTAGAATTATCGAAATTCTAGATAATGCGTCTCATCCAGAAACTCCTGGAACTAAGCCACCAAATATTCTAATACTTTCCACAGGAATCGAACATTTCACACTAGCCGGTCATAATCCAATACCTTGGGACTCAAGGAGGGCTTTTTCACCAGTCTTAACGATGGCTTCTTTCAGCATGCTAGGATTCTGACCTGTTGCGGGAAGAATTCATGACTTCTCCTACCCACCTAGCTCCTCCCCAAGAAGGGAAAAAATCCAACACACATGTGATGGCTCTCAATTCTCCAAGGGTCTTATCTACATGCTCAGGTTGCAAGAACTGAAAATATCAATTAACACACATCTTGCTCTACCAAGGAGTCAGTAACACAACAATATTTGGCAGCTATTTGCATGCTCTCCCTCACACAATCCTACCACTCCTCAAACTCTGGAAATGGCATTTCACATCAAGTATGCTGGAATGGCACCATGAAATAAGATGAAAAGCACAATTCTAGAAAGGTAGTTAATATTTTAAATAAATCATTTTTGGCACACAAAAAGTTAACTGTTCTATACTTTAGATCAGGATTATATGTAGCCTAACACCAGTTTATACACCCAAGCTCCATGCCTGTCTAAGTCAGAAGATGTTCCAATTAAAGTCAAGTGCAAAGTCAGCCATACCTCTTTCAAATGGAGTTACTAAGAAAGTGCACTATCAAAGCACTTCATTTTTTACACTTTGAAAGATTCCAATCTAGAGTAACCTCCAATCTGACAATATCCCTGTAAAATGCAGATAACTCACTCTTAAATAACAAAAGGAAGAATGGAGTACTATTTTGCTTAGTAGCATCACCAATTCACACACTAATCAGATTAAGTATTGATTGTGTGCAAATAAATTCTAGCTATTTCTTACTTATTCTATAGTTATACAACCTGTATTTCTTAGTACTTCTTTAAACATAAACTGACAACTGAAAATCCAGGAGTAAGCCTTGTAAGCTTACTCCTGTGAGAACCTTGAAATCCATGAGAGATTACAGGAGAAGTTGGAATCACAACTGTTGTTCTGTTGTTGTTTTTAAGTGCTCCAATCCACAACATTACTAGAACTACTGGCAATGCTGGAATCAGTTTTGTTGTTGTTTTTAAATAGATTGTTGTACCTTACTGTTTTGGATGTGTTTTGGTGTTGCTAATGTTATTTTATATGTCTTTTGTATTTATACACTCATTATTGTTACCATTAACATTGTTACCATTGAGAAGAGCCTCGTGGCGCAGTGGTTAAACTGCTGTACTGCAGCCAAAACTGTGCTCACGACCTGGTGTTCAATCCCAGGCAGCCTGCTCAAGGTTGACTCAGCCTTCTATCCTTCCGAGGTCAGTAAAATGAGTACAGTGGTGCCTCGCATTACGACGTTAATTCGTTCCAGCGAAATCGCTGTAGAACAAAAACGACGTAATGCAAAAATAAAAAGCCCATTGAAACTCATTGAAACCCCTTCAATGCGTTCCAATGGGCTGGAAACTCACCGTCCAGCGAAGATCCTCCATAGGGCGGCCATTTTCGGTGCCTGTGCAGTGAGTAATCAGTCCCAGAAAACAGTGGGGAGCCATTTTATTTACCCAGCGGCCATTTTGAAACCGCCGATCAGCTGTTTGAAAATTGTCGTTTTGCGAAGAATCGGTTCCTGAAGCAGGGAACCGATCACCACAAAGTGAAAAACCCCTATTCAGACCATCGTTTTGCGATCGCAATTGCGATCACAAAAAGATCGTCATAATGCAGATTCGTCGTAATGTGGGGCAATCGTAAAGTGGGGCAAGACTGTACCCAGCTTGCTGGGGGGGGGGCAATGTGTAGCCTGCATAATTAACTTGTGAACTGGCCAGAGAGTGCTTGAAGCACTATGGGGCGGTATATAAGCAGCACACTTTTGCTTTTTTTGCTTTAAATGCTGTCTCTTAATAATGTAAGCTGCCTTAGTTGTTTTAAAGAAGGTAAATTCATCTTAAATAAAATAAATAACTTGTTTAAAGAACAAACTAAAGCCTTTTTTCTAATGATATTCAAATTTATGACACATTATGTAGATGAAATTATTAATTTACAACTCAGTTACTTGATGTAATAATTACATTTAAAAGGAAATATTCAGCTTTTACAAGCTTGCAATGAAAAGAAAATGGAAGCATTTATTTTATGGTATTAAGTGCAATTTGCCAAAATAAAATGGAATTCTTAAAGGAAAACTTCATTCATGGTACAGGCTGACTATCTAAATATTTACTCAGAAATTAAATACCAGCAAATTTGATGGAACACAGCTATATGTTTATATACAGTGGTGCCTCGCGTAACGGGAGCTCCATTTAGTGACAAAATCGCTTAGTGATGACTTTTTCGGAGCGTTTTTGCGCTTCATTTAGCGATGGTCCCTATGGGTGATTTTCACTTAGCAATGTTCGGATCATGCTTCGCATAGCGATTAAATTTTGGGTCCCCTGTTTCGTTTAACGGTGGTTTAAATAGCCTCATGTTTGCTGTTTTTTAAATGTTTTTCTGTTATTTATAAAGTTAAAGTTTACCGTTTAAAATGTTTGAAATCATAAAGTGCACTTAATAAACCCTTTGTTAACCAAATTTGACTTTGTTCTGACTCTTTTTTAATTTGTTGTTGTATTTTTCCCCTATTGAGATGCACTGAATAGGTTTCAATGCATTTCAATTGGGGAACCGTGTTTCGCTTAGCGATGTTTCCTATGGCGATTTTCGCTTAAGAACAGCAATTCATTCCTATTGGAACGGATTATCCCGTTTTCAATGCATTTCAATGGGAAACCGCGTTTCGCTTAGCGATGAAATCGCTTAGCAATGAAACCGCTTAGCAGCGATTTTTGGAACAAATTAACATCGCTAAGCGAGGCACCACTGTACAATGTTACTACCTAGATCACGAGTACCAGGTTTGTATTAATGTTTGACCATTTTATAAGAACTTCCCAAAGTTCGTATAAAAATGTTTAAACTATGCAGAATTTTTTTACAAAAATCATTACTTGTAAAAAAGTGCATTTATGAGGGAAAACCATTACATTCCTCAATCCTACTAACCTTTTAAAAATGTTGAGACATTATATCAAGTCACAGAGGTTCCTCTATCTTTAATTCAAATAACAAGAACACAAAATGATGCTTACGCCAGCATCAGTTATGGTGCAAGTAATATGTAGAGCCCTCTGTTGTGCATATTTACCCTCATTACAAAGGGCCACAATCTCATTCGCAACATTATTTTAAGTTTGTGAGGAGCATTGGCCTGGCCAGTACTAAAGTATTTTACGATAGCCACCAACTGTGAGACAAATAGGACTCAGACCAGCACAATCCCATTCAGTCTATTCTTTCGCCCTACTTTATTATGAGAAAAGCAAACACTCAAATCTGGCAGCTTCAGTTATTTGAATGTAGCAACCCCCTTGACCTGTGCAAATTAGGTTCCCTGGAGAGAGGAAAGTAAGTTCATGAATTTGCATTGACTCAACACCTGAATGTAGGCAAACTCAAGCAAAAAATAACAGGCAACTAAAAGTGGGTAGTATGCCACATAGTGCCCCTTATCTTTGACTTTTTTAAAAAACAAAGTCCTTAATTTCTAAGCATTTCAGATCAGTCTGAAAACAGTTGCTTTCTCCACAACTCTGGAATTTCTGAATCTATTTATTTAACCCCAAACACACAGGAGTGTATTTTGTAATCACGTTTCATTTCAGTTTGTCTCAGACTATCCCAAGTTAACAGGTGTGGCCTTGTCATGTGTTTCTATGAATCACTGATGATTCTGTACATAAGTAGCAAAGCCAACCAGTCATGAGATTTAAATTCATGTCTGACAACAATTTTTGCTGAGTTTTAACAAGGAAGTGCCTATCTGCACCCCAAAATTTTTATTGTTACATCCCATTACATAGAGCCTATTTGGAGCCTCTGCAACCTCAATCCTCACTACTCTCTTACAAAAAAAAAGTTTTGTATGATACCAGCAAGAAGGATGAGAGGTAAACAAGGAAGTAAACTATTCTGAAGGGGAACAATTCCTACTCATTTTATGCAATGCTTACAATGAAGATATGTCCAGGTAGGATGTTCATACCAGTGCCGTTTATAACATACTACCACTTGGGATTGGGGCTGCCCCGCCATATCCACATTAATGGACTACTTGAAAGCATGTGTACAACTAGTACACTTTCTATATTTGTAAGTACCACTCATTAAAATCTACATAAACTCTCTTGGTTATACATCCAAGGGCCTCCAGAAATAAATGTACAATTTTCCAAAAAGGATTAAAATTAGGAACCCATCAGAACTAGTAACCATCACCTAAAATTAACCCCCCCCCCAAAGTCGGGAACGCTGAAGCGGCCCCAAAACAAGAGGTGCTAGATTGGCATTTAAGGAGAATAACAGAAAAGAGATACAGGGATATGTTACAATGAGATTTACCACTTAAGACAACAAATAAACTACAATCCATATACTTTTAACAAACATCTGGTAACACGTATTCCATGCAGCTTTATCAGACACTGAAAACTGATTATGAATTATCTTCTTACCGTCATCTTTCTTTAAAAATCCAGCTTAAAATTGCTAACCGCGGACAAGTCATCCTAAGCCTACCTTGCAAGGCTTTTGTGACAGAGAGACAGTTGAGGACAACACACAGTACCTTGACCTCTTAGGAAACAAGTAAGGCTTTCTTAGCTTAAAAAGAAAAGTTTTACCCGATAGAAACACCTAAAAACAATGAAAGCCCTTCGGGACATTCTTAAGTCTTTCAACTTAGCAACATAAAAGACAAGTCATCTCTCTACGAGACACCAAACAAGTACCAGCCACGCTAACATATGGGAGGAAAATGAATGATGACAAAGGCCGGGCACGAGTTCGGCGGAGAAAGACGGGGTCAACCCAAGGCGACGCACAAGGGAAGAGTTTCGGTGAGGGATGCCGGAGGGGGTTGGCGGGCGGGGAGAGGAACAGGGAAGCGGTGAAGAAAAAGGCCCAGTTGGAAAGGAGCCGGTGGGCCTTCTCCCGACTCACCCACATCCTGGTCGAAGGGATTGCTAGTGAAGAGCGGCATCTTTCCGACGACGGGAGAGAAAGGCGGCGGCGGTCGAAAGAAAGTAAGGTCCGCTCGCCCCTCCTGACCATCGGGGGGGGGAGAGGGAGAGAGAGAGGAGGGCGGCAACAAACAGCAACAAACGCCTCAGACGGAGCGACTGAGGGAACGAGGCCCCCGAGACGGTTGAAGCTCCGCCCTCTTCCCAACAGAATTCCACCCTCGCGCTCCCTCCTTTCTTCCCTCCCTCCCTCCTTTCCTCAGCTTGGTTCTCCACAGTCACCGCCGCCTTCGGAAGCCGGCATTGCAGTGCGTGATGGGTGAAGAAAAAAAAGAGAGAAAGGCGGCCGCCGTAGTGCCTGTTGGAAGGGGCGCGCCGTGAATTCCAGCGGGCAAGACTGGGAAGGAAAGCTTATCCCGCCTTTTCTTCCCAGGCTGTAAATTTCCTCGTGTTCTCGGGTGGCCTTTTGTGCGCTTCGTGTGCGGATGAAATTATGTGGTCCTCTCAGGCGTGCTGTAGACAGCTGTCTGGAGACTTCACTCAGGCCCCTTAGTCCCCAAGCTTGGAGCGCCTGGTGGTGACTCCGCGTGGGTTGTAAGAAAGATCCATAGGATCTGCAACGAAATGTGGAAGTGCAAAGGGTTCCTGCTCAGAGTGTTTTTAGGTGAGACATATATTGTACGCCATTCTACGCGTCTTAGCTATGCCGTCTTCCTGGATACTCTTCACACTTTGGATACACCTCACACTCGTGTTTTCTGATGCTCCTATACAGAAACTGTTGCCTATCTAACAATTCCACCTTTTCCCCTCTACAAGGGAGTTTGTTTACTAGAAAAACTGAAAAATATTGATAAGTTTAGCCGTTGAGTTGCAGTTCAAAAGCATCTGAGTAACAAAAGTCAAGAACCACTGGCCTATCTAATAATTCCACCTTTTTTCCTCTACAAGGGAGCTTGTCTGTTTACTAGAAAAATTGAAAACCTTGGCAAGATGCAATCTGGATCTGCCGGCCAAACCTGGGTTCTAAGATTATCTGGCAAGGAACCAGGCATAGATGCAACAGCTGAACCACAGTTCAAAAGCATCTGAGTAACAAAAGTCAAGAACCACTGGCCTATCTAATAATTCCACCTTTTTTCCTCTACAAGGGAGCTTGTCTGTTTACTAGAAAAATTGAAAACCTTGGCAAGATGCAATCTGGATCTGCCGGCCAAACCTGGGTTCTAAGATTATCTGGCAAGGAACCAGGCATAGATGCAACAGCTGAACCAAGGGCCCAATTTTATTTGAATACTGTAGCAGCAAATAAAAGGTCATCTGGGACCTCCCTTAAAAGCAGAGAAGGCTCCGGGCATATGGAGTGCATACATTTTATAATGATACAAAGAGTTATAAAAATGCTACAATTCTATTGGTTATTTGTACCCCAACTTTGGATCCAGTCCCTCATTGGGCAAATGATGCCAACTATGCTAATCTATTGGTTACATGTAAATACGCATATTGTGCCCCCATCTCTCCTTGACCTGTGCCCAAGATGCCCCTGAAAGTCTGGGGACAAGAGTATCCATTTCCCCTTATCTATTGGTATGTTTATGTGTTTTCTTCCTGGGCCCTGATATAAGAGAAGACTCCCTGGAAAAGACCCTGATGTTGGGAAAGAGTGAAGGCAAGAGGAGAAGGGGATGAGAGGACGAGATGGTTGGACAGTGCCATCCGAGCGACCAACATGAATTTGACCCAACTCTGGGAGGCAGTGAAAGACAGGAGGGCCTGGCGTGCTCTGGTTCATGGGGTCACCAGGACTAAAGAACAACACTGTGAATCATTTGTGAATGTTACAACAATCATTGCTGGCTTCCTCCTACAGCAGGGGTCTCAAACTCAATTTACCTGGGGGCTGCTGGAGGCAGAGTCTGGGTGAGGCTGGGCCGCATCAGATTAAAAAAAACCCTCACAGAATCGCCTTGCCAAAGGAGAAAAGCCCCATCTGTACCTGCGAAATTAAACAGAACGTGGCGCCCCCCCACAGGTGCACACATGCACATGCGCACACACATGGAGGTCCAGCAACCTTCCTCTGAGCCCCCCCCAAAAAAGGCGCACTCAGTAGCAGCAGCTACCCCCACCACGACAGGGGAGCAAACTTTGCGAGGCGAGCCCAGGCAACCTCCAGAGCCGAGGCGACTGAAGCAGGACAAAGAGGAGGAGGAGGAGGAAGAAGCATCGCTGGGTGCTGAGGCGGCCACTGGCCAGGCTGGTGCTGGGGGTGCAGACAGAGAAAGAAAGCCAGAGAGCCGCTTCCCTGGAAGAGACAGCGGCGGCAGCTGCTGTTGGCGATTTGGAGGCGTTCTTCGAGGACAGCCTGGGAGTGAGCTCCGCTCTCAGGCATCGCTCGGCGGTGGCTCAGGCTTGGGGAAAAGGGCCAGCAGTGCGCCTCACTCACTGGCCCTTCCCCAAGACAGGCTGCAGTTCTGGATGGAGGGTGCAAGAGGCGCTGTCTTGGGAGAGAGCCAGTGAGCGAGGCAAGGCTTTTTTAAACTCTTGACAGCAGAGGACGTGTGGGTGCTTCAGGGGGGGGGGCGGCAAGGCAGGGGCCACAAACTATCATCTGGCGGGCTGCAAATGGCCCCCGGGCCGCATGTTTGAGACCCCTGTCCTACAGGCATTCCAATGGTGGGCCATCTGTTACATCAAAAAGGTGGTTGGGCAAAGGAGAAGAGTTACATTGTTATTCTATGTCGGCCATAAATACTTTTGAGCTAGAAGTGAACGTTTCAACGTTAGGTCTTTCTGGGGCCTGTGCTTTCTCTTCTTGCCTTGTCAGTTTTAAAATGTAGTTTCATCTTTATCAGGTCCACAGTCAAATTTCATGAAGACCTCAGATGACTTTTAAATAAATAAACGTTTAAATAAATGATGACAAGATAGAACTAAACGACTACATCAGTTTCACGTGTTAAAATGAGATTCACGTAATTAAAGCACAGATCTCCCAAGTCTACCCAGTTATAGAGTGGGGGAATGGATGGGGAGATGTAATTTTCTAAAGGACAGTGGCATACATGATGACAAAAATGAATTCTTCTGGTGGCTTATATCTTGAAACAATTTTCTGTCAACTAAATTTCCTGCAGTGAGGGATTTTAGCAAGGGAAAGAAAGGTTCTATACTCTGTTGTCTTGCTTTTTTTTTTCTTTTAAAAAGAGCAGCAGATTAATTGGGGCAGTTAACTTTAAATGGAGTCACATCCACGTTGGCTCTAAACGCTCAGTTACTAAAATCTAGACTTAAATCTATTGATGAGTGTTAGCAAATTAAGTGCCACTGAACCTTTAGCCCTATTCTGTTACTATATCAACTTTTTCTTGCGGTGGGGCATAATATTCTCATCTTTCTCATGCCTGATGGAATGGGTGGGAGGTGGAGCCATTTGGCTGTCAAAATGCCTAGTTACAACTGTAATATGAATGGTTGGAAAATCTGCTTTTAAAATCCCCTCCCACCTGAGTTGTGGTGGTGGGGTAAATGACAAATACTATCCTTGGGTAGCTTGCTCACTCACACAGACCCACAATGGCTGAAATCCTATTGCTTAGTGTAAGTCATGCTAGCATAGGCCCATTGACTTAAGGGGATCTGTCCAACTATGTAAGCTTCAGTGATTCAAATGGGCCTACTCTGCGATTTACTATACCAGTGGTTCCCAAGCTTGGGTGATCCAGTTGTTCTTGGACTGCAACTCCCAGAAACCCTGACCAGCACAGCTAGTGGTAAAGACTTCTGGGAACTGCAGTCCAACAACACCTGGGTCACCCAAGGTTGGGAACCACTGCCTACCCTAAAGTAACTCGCAACTGTAGGAGGTTGACTCTGCTGAGGGCCACGCCACAGGATTGCAGCCGG